ATAAAAAACGGGGGGGGGGGTGTGGTGGTGGTGTTGATTGACAGCTGGCTGAACAGGAGCCAGCAGTGTGCCCAGGTGGCCAAGAAGGCCAATGGCATCCTGGCTTGTGTCAGCAATAATGTGGCCAGCAGGGACAGGGGAGGGATCTGACCCCCGTACTCGGCACTGGTGAGGCCGCACCTCGATTCCTGGGTTCAGTTTTGGGCCCCTCACTACAAAAAGGACACTGAATGACTTGAGCGTGTCCAGAGAAGGGCAACAGAGCTGGTGCAGGGTCTGGAGCACAGGTCGTATGAGGAGCAGCTGAGGGAACTGGGGGTGTTTAGTCTGGAGAAGAGGAGGCCGGGGGAGACCTCATCACCCTCTACAGCTACCTGAAAGGAGGGTGCAGGGACCTGGGGATAAGTCTCTTTAACCAAGTAACAAGTGATAGGACAAGAGGGAATGGCCTCAAGATGTGCCAGGGAAGGTTTAGACTAGGTATTAGGAAGCATTTCTTTGCAGAATGGGTTGTTAGGTTTTGGAATGGGCTGCCCAGGGAGGTGGTGGAGTGAGTCCCCATCCCTGGAGGCGTTTAAGAGTGCATTGACATAGTGTTGAAGGATATGGTGTAGCTGGGAACTGTCAATGTTAGGTTAATGGTTGGACTGGATGATCTTCAAGGTCTTTTCCAACCTAGACAATTCTATGATTCTGTAACATCCATTCCCTACTCAGCTGGTGTCCACTGCTGTTCTCCTGGACAGAAGTAGCTTGCAGGCCAGAACCAGCCATAGGCAACCATGAGTCCCTCACCACTACTGTTGTTTCACCCATGAAGCCTCTCAACTTTATCTGCCACAAAACCCCAGGTGAACTAAAAGGGATCCCCAGCCTCCATCAAAGATCTTGGAGCCTTTATCTTTTCAACGCATGCATCACAACAAGCAAATCCAGGGCAATTCTCCTCCTAGACAACCCTATTTCAGTCTCCTCCAGCAGCTTCTCTATCCCATTCCAGAAAGATAAAAGCATTTCTTTTCAATCCAACAATAAATTTCTATGAAAAAAAACCCAACCAAACAAAAACAGTTTAAAACATACAGTGAGCTGGGGCCAGGAAAGCATGTTTAATAATCAATCTTTGACCACTGACTGAGAAACAAAAGACACCTCTACACTAGGGACACAAATGCATGTGCACAGACCCTTTATTGCAGGAAGCAACTTTTTTTTTTAATTTAGTGGTTTATTTGTATATGAAGTCAGGAAGACATAAACCAACTCTGTTTGCAAAAATAACTGAAATAAGAACTCACTAGACCAGCAGTAAATGCACCTCCAGAATTCAGTAAGGTATTTTTATTTCAGTTCTCTCCAAGAGGAAAGCAGCAGGATGGACCCCTGCCATATGAAAAGGGAAAGCAATTCCAAGAAATATACATATGAAAAGATTTCCATTTGTGGTTGGGCAATGACCAAACTTTTTAAACTCTCCAGTTTATACTTCTTCAATAGCAGGAACTCTCTCCACCCGAAGTACAGCACAAGCTTGTTATTACACTCACAGACTGAGCTATGTGTTAGCATAATTGCTACAATTTGCTCACTGATAATTCTGTTGCTATTGTTCTGTACATGAGCTGGGAGAGTGATTAAGATGTATCTGCCACCAGCATGATTCATCCAACAGACATTTTTTACTGAAGTGACCTTTATATAAAGATGACTGAGCAACTAGGCAAAGAGACATTAACCTCTACAAACAGTTCCCAGCTAACAGATATCTCTACTGGAAATGGCAACCAGCCTTTAATTTTTTTTTTTTTTTTTTTATTTTGACGAAGGTAAATGAACAGGCACAAAGCAAATGCCATTCTTCAAAAAGGCACATGCTAGAAGCCTCAAATGCCCTCACAAATTACACCTTAGAAGAAGATTTATGGAGATTTTTTCTGCTTTTCTCAAATCTGTGGGATTCTGAATACTTCATGCAATGTACAGAACTGCCAGCCAGCATGGCCGAGAGTGACAGACTGGGAGATCATGTGTTTGCTCAGACTGTCTAGCATGTGCTACAGGATCCGGCCCTTTGCACATGCAAAAGGCCCTTTCAGCAAATTGTGAGAGATCATCAGCTCTCACTGAAATCAGGGCCTGTCAGCATCCCAGTTCTAGAGTTTCATAATAGTCTCCACCAAGACACACACTTGTTTTCAAGATCTGGCGTTCCTACAAGGCTCCACCATGTGGCTTTCAGCCCTACAACCACTACTAATGTTATTAAGACATGCATCATAGGAGCATGCAGATACTCAATTATTAAACATCCTTTGGTATCCCAGGGAAGCAGGAGCCCATGCTGGAGAAAAAAAACCTACTAGAGCAACAGCATTTCAGCTCTGAAACACTCAAGTCACGCTTTCTAAGGATGTGTGTAAAGCACCTTGCTTATTATCTTTCTGAAGCTTATCCCAATCAAATTCCACTGCCACAAGTACCAAGGCAAACACAGAAGGCAGACTGGGATGATAAATAATTATTATAATACTTAGGACTTGCTTAATGTTATTCATCTCAAAGCACTCTATAAACTTAACTAAACATAAAAAGCTAAGCAGCCAACGTGCTAGGAACACGCTGTTGACACTGGATTATTCTGCAAAGTGGCATCCATTTAAAAAAACAAAATAAAACCAACCAACACACAAGAAACCAGCTATTCACTTCAGTGCAGTGAGAGACCCAGTTTCACCAGCATTACACATATGCATAAAGACAGGAGTCTACTGGTCAACATGTACCAAGAAATGAACACTGTAGCAACGCTACGTGCTTTGAATCCACTTGCAAGGGAAAATATGATGCTCTCAAAAAGATTTTTTTGCTAAACTTTCTTTTAAGCATCCATCAACCAGCAGTGAAGCATTTCAGTAGAGAATGAAATTCTGTATCAAGCAGAATGCCTCTGCTTCAAGCAGATCTGATCAAGAGAAACAAGCAGCTCATCTTGTTTGCCTCAAAATCAACTCAGCTGTGGAAGCAACCTGAATTCTAACCTGCCTGGTACATCAATTAAATACTTAACAGTTGTGTGCTGCCTGCAAAGCCATTATTACCAGCAGTAACATAGGAGGCTGAACAAAATCAGCTAGGCAGCACCCAGACCATAACTGTGGATGAATTGGTTGCTGCAGAAATCATCAGTAGACTTGAAAACTTAGTGCTCTGACCTGAAAAAAAGTATTTGCTGGGTGTGAAATGAAATGGCACAACACCATGCACGCTACTTAAAGAACTGGAAGTAAAACAGCCTGATACGTGTTTGTTTTCTAAGCAACGGGTAGCTGTGACAGTTTATGAATCGATTTATACACAAAAGGGAGCAAGGCGGACTGGTGCTGAGGATAAGGGGAGCACAGGTTAAAAGAGTCAATAAGGCATAGTATCTGTAAGGACAGGAAGACTTGGCAGCCACCATGCCAACCTCTTCAAATTTAAGAAGTAAGAACACAGGAATTCATTTTCCTGAAACTCCTTAGTTCTAGAAGTGCTGCTGTACCTAAGCAATAAATAACTTTGTGACAGTAAATACATCCGTGTACTCCAAGAAATGGCACAGAAATTCAGTGCTGATTCTGACAAAACAGAGCCACCCTCCTGATGGGCCTCTAAAAGACTGCCATGAATAACACAACTTATAGAAGTTTTGAGTCTGGGCAGTTTAAATGTCTGACAAAACAGGAAGACATTTGCTCTGCAGTTCATTAGCGATTTATCACCCCAGACTGAAAAAGCTTGGTCCAAGAAATGAAGTCAGAATTCATCTGTATCCCCAGAAAACAGCCCTAGCCAAGAAAACACAGCTACTCACTCAGTTTGGGATAGTCCTCCAGTAGGAAGCTCCACTTTCTGGTGTTCATATCTGCAATAGTTAAAACAAAAAATGTCATAAGTCTCTTCTTTAAAAGACAGTACTCTGTCCCTAAGAACATGGCTATCCATCCATATTCTCTGTATTTCAGAACTGCTTTAAAAGAATTCTTAACAGAGGAGAACTGATTGCTGGACAAGTTAAGCAAACAATCTGAAGACGACTTAAAAACATGAGAACACATCTGGAAGTGGTGGTATCACTGGGGCAAGACTGTAATGAAGCCCCCTGCCCAAGGATTCTGGCAACCACTTTTTTCACTGCAAGAATGGATAAAAATGTGCATGAAGGTTCCTATTTGTTAACCAACAAACTCTGACTTCAGTCAGTAACACAATCACTTTCAGCTGTACCTCTGCACCCTATGGACAATGCGCTCAGGACTGTACAGAGGAAATACACCAATTCATCAATACCCAAAGTGTAACATGAATGCCAAACTTGTCTGGCAGATTTATCCAGAGGTAGCACCTGCCTACAACTTCCACGGAAGACAGAGTGAATTCAGTCAGCTGAAGATGCAAAAAACAGGAGTTCCAGGATTTGTTCCCCATGCTCACTGACCTGCTGTGATACTGTGCAGGTCATCTCATTGCTCTGTGTCTCATTTCCCACATTACAAGTGGAAAAACCTGATACTTACCATTGAAATATGAATGCCAACATAAAAAGTGCTGCCCTATAGTTCCACTTGTCTCAAAAATATCAGTAAAGCTGCTGGTAAACTCAATCTGCTCAGGCAGTTGCAGCCATTATACACCACAGTAAAGCAGGATGTCCAATTGCATTTAATAATACAGACAAGAACTTATGCATCATCGTTGTACTGCTGGCAAATTATTAGCACACCCCATCTCAATGGTAAACATAATCATACTGAGTCCTGAAATAGCACTTTGGCTAACAGACTCAGAAGAGGCCATGTTCTGGCACCGAGTAAAGTGCAGGACACAGATACAGCACTATACCAGAACTAGAGGAGCTCTCAAAATCTTCACCAAAACACATCCTCTCATGCTTTTTCAGAAGGATGTACTCTCACAGTCTCTCCCCTCTAAATCACTCATAGCACTCCAAGAGCAGCTCCAACAACATTTAGAATAAGGCAGAAACAACCAAAGACTCACCATAATTTCTGGAATCCATCTGTTTGAACACTCCAATCACTTCTGAAGAATACCCAATATCAACCTCAAACCGCAAGCGAGAGATTAGCATGCATTTCCCTTTGACAAGGGCTGAAGGTTTCTTCCAGGTCTTACACATCTTCAAGAGCGATTTCACATCAACCGTACTGCCAATGAAATGAGAGCCTGATGTCAGGCCACCTGCATTTTCTCCCTCCAGTGGTGCCACAACTACTGACGAAAGTTGATTTACTGCTTCCACTAGAGAGAAAAGCAAGAAATACAGAGAAAAGAATTAGTAACAAAGAACACAGATAAGCTAAAGATGACAGGATAATTTGGGAAGAGAAGGACAAGAGGATGACAAACCAACCAATCACCTTCAAGTTTAAAAAGAGTGATAATTCCTTGCCTTCACTCACAGGGACAAAGAATAGAGTGTGGGCCTGGAGGAGCAGGTTGGCGGGATTTTCCATAAAGAATACAGCAGGGGCATGTGACAGTAGGTGAACAAGGTCCTGTCCAGCATTGTCACTGCATTAGGCTCCCTCTCTGTCATGAATCACAAAACGTGGCTCACTAAGACAGGACAAGCAATCCGCAGAACCACATACTACAGGAAATTGCACACAGCCATACAGCATTTTCACAAAGTTGCAGGGACAGGTGCATGGTGATCAATACGTGCCTGAAAAGATGGGAAGGTGCTTCTGCAAACAGCAAAGGAGAAAGATCTAAAAATATCTAACTTCTGCCTCGTGTCAATGTCTGACATGCAATCTCATCTAGGAGGAATGCTGTATATTCACAATACTGTAGGAAGGATATCAGTAAGGAATCTAGTCCAAACCCCAAGTCTCCTTTGTTACAATTTAAGTCCAACAACCCTTCATTCTACTGTGTTTTACAGATTGACTTGTACTTCCCCCAGCCATCTGCACTCCTCTCTTACTAATCACTATCAACCACCTCTGTCATGATGCCAGGGCATGGGGAGAGAACTTTACAGCTGTTAGCCTGGGACCACAGATATCCACACTAATAAACGTTCCACTTTTCCCTGTGTCTCTCTGCCAATCTGTACCCTTATGTTGTCTTTATTATTATAGCTGAACTGTGACAGCTAAGGAACGATTTTTTCCTGTATTTTTACAGCACCAAAACAGTGAAGGTCATCCCCCAGACTCCAAATCAGATACCAGAGTAACACAAAGATTCATGAACATCTCCAGAGTCCATTAGACTAGAGAACCACTAAGCAGTCTGCCTCCATGTATTTGAAGAGAGGCAACTTCCCCTATCTGGCAGCTGCTTAGAGTAAATCCATTCCTTTGAGAACTGAGCTGCACATCATGATCCTCTCTGCTTCTTTTTAAATAATACAGCTTACAAAACTTTCAAAATTTAAGTTCAGTTGTTAAAATTGGAAAAGTGAAAAAGAAATAAATTCAAACACTTTCTTCCTAATCAGTTAATAAATAAACCGTGTGGATTTCATCCAATTTTATTTTAAAACAAGTGACTTCCAGAAAAAAAAAACACAAAACCACAAGAATTTGAGATTCTACTCCAAAGAAGTTTAAGAGCATCAAGTAATTTTTAAAGTAGAGGACTAGGAAACCACCAGTTTAGATTTTCTCCCCCCAATACATGAAGCAAAAGATTTTAAATGCTAGTTTCAGCATTACATAGTTAAGATTTCACCTCTACAACTAGTACTGAAAGAAACTGGAAAAAAACAGCATATTTTACTCTTATTTCACCACCTATTTCTCAGCTTGACTGGATGTTTATAGTACAAAGAAAGAAATGTAATACAAGACAACATTATTCAGAAGAACAAAATTAACAGTGGACGGTTTTAAAATAATAGTTTTTACATTTACAAGACTTCAAACAAAGGTCTTTTAAGTCAGTTCCATTTCTCAGAGTATTTTTTCCCCTGATATCATTGCCCAATGTTGATCATATATTGTCTTCACTTATCAACAGGAACCTTCCACAGAGAACTCAAATATTTGATAGCTTTAAGGAAAAAAGCCCGATTTCTAAAAACCATCCTCTTCATTTGCAAGCTCCTTGGTGCAGAGACTCTGCTCTCATCTGTACCTGAAACACTTCAAGCAAACCAGCAGCATTTGAATTATAAATGTGTGGCAACCCACATGGGAAGCTAAAATACCAGCACTCAACTGTGGGTTTTTCAAAGTGCTCAACATAGGCCTAATTCTGTTCCCACTGAAATCAATAGTGATTTATCACTTGCTTCAATACAATGTGCTTCTCAAAAGCTTACCTGAAGTGTTTGCCTCTACCAACTCTCAATCTTTCCAGAATAAAATGACAGGAGAGGAAAAAAAGATAAAACCATCCTTGTTATGTCAAAAAAAGCCATTTTAAGTCTCACTCAAAAGCCCTAGAGAATCACCCTTTTTCCCTTTTCCAACACTCAAAATTAATATGAAAAAAATGTAAGAAAAAGAAAAGAGCTGTTTAAAAAGTAAATATATGAACAAAGCAAGAAATTAAGCATTAGTTGGTGGAACACCCTCAGTTCTCAATACAGATTCATATGAAGTACCTACACAGCACATATGTTCCTATTATCAGGCTTGTCGGTTGGTGAAAAATTCAGCAATGGCAAAAAAGGTTAAACCTATGCTTGGTATTAGAGTACACGAAAAATAATCAACTACGAAGTGTCAAAAATATGTTATGATCTAGATGCCTAAAAGATTGGCATTATGTTTGAATAGCACCACTTTTACTACTTCAGACAGTAACAAAGCTAAATAATAATTATGGAAGGTGGGGGAAGGGGGTCAAGATTTGGATTCTTTTTTATCATTGAACAAGCCATTTACTTACTGAAACTGCTGTAATCTTCCAGGCTGAAATTCCATTTTTTCATAGCAGGATCTAAAATAGGGCAGAATGTTAATCATTTGGGGTAGAAAAAAAAGTGGTGGTGTGAAACATTCATGCGAGCTAAGAAAGAATTCAATCTACTCGTGCAAACTTTTTGACACACATCTGAAAAGCAGTACCCTCAAGTTTACAGCTACATGACACCAAAAAAGCCATAGGGCATATCAATACTAAGACAAGAAGAATGCAGCTGGCATTCATAGGGAGCAGCAACACCCGGGTGAAAGAAAAGTAGAATATCACAAATAAAGGCAGGGAGAAAAGATCAAAAGCAAATCAAAAGGTGGAGATTCCCCTGCTCTCAGTAACCCAGTTAACATAATCAGCTCATCAACTCTGAACTACAGTTAAGTGACCCATTTTCCCATACCAATTCACTCCCAAAAGACCCTGACCAGCTGCCATGCTAAACTTCTTAGAGCACTGTTCATAAAGCAGAGCTTCTGATTTCTTGGCTAAATCCAAGCTCAAGCTATTCATGCCGAGAATGTCTTTCCAATTTCAGCTGTCTTTATTTTTCCAGCCCCCCATTAATACCACATATGCCACCCCAGCAATAGCTGCACTACTAAAAGGATATAGCAACCACAGTTCTAGCAGATGCTGACAATTCAATATAAAACAGAGATAACAGCAAACAATCAATTCTTACCATAGCTTTTGCTTGGTATCTTCTTAAATAGAGCAATAAGTTCAGCATTATACCCTATTTTCACCTGGAATCGGTCTTCCCCGTATTTCACACATTCTCCTTTTGTAACACTATTTGCTTTCTTGCAAGAGGCAGCTTCAAAGGTAGAGCCTGCACCAGCAGAGTTGGTCAACTTCTGCATCCTACCACTGGCCTGAGAGGTACCACCTCCCTCTTCTCTTTCTGTTGGTATGCTTGTGTTTATCAGCATTTTTGAGTCACTCGGGGTGGCACTGCTTGATGGTGAAACATATTTTATGGCAGATTTGTTCTGACTTTGTAAATCTTTACTACCGCCAGGGTGCCCGTTATCAATTAATCTAGGATGAGATGGTTCTGCGGGGTTTTTGAAAGCTGGGTAGCATTTGGCCGGCTGGAATGTACCAAGATTAATTAAAGCTTGTTGTCCATGTTCCTGACCACCAGCATTCATGTAATGTTTATGGGAATAACTCAGAGAATTTGGGGTTGTTGTAGGGAACTGCTTAATGTCACTTGCTTGTTCCGAGTCCTCTGAACAATTCTTTTGTTGCTCTCCATGTGAGCCAGCCATCTGTTGGTTTGCAGTGTAATGATTATAATCTTTCTGAAGATAGCTCTTCTGCTCCACAGGACTGTTTGGATTCTGTTGATGCTGCTGGGTAATGAACCTGACATGACTGTATTCTTCCTTCAAGTTTCCCCAACTGCCTCGACTCTGTTCTTTCACCTGAGGTCCAGCAATCACCACCTGCCCACTTCTCTGGGCTGCTAGCTTCTCTGCTCTCCTAGCCAAAGCCTTCTGGCGGTTCTCTTCAATTCTTCTCTTTTGTTCCTCTGTAAGGCCTGACGACATCTTCCACAATTGAAACAATAAATCTGAATCAAAACTGCATCAGGAATCAATCAGAGGCACCTGCTTCTTTAGAGGAATGGAGGCCACGCTACAAAAAAAAAAAAAAACAAAAAACAGCAAAGAGAGAAAAAAATTCAACCGTTCCCCCCAAAAATGCTTATTGTATTGATAACTCAGTATTATTAATGACTGAGTATTACTGCAACCGATCCTACACAAAAACACAGAGCTGTCGGGCCAGTGTAAAGCCATGAGCCATTATCAGCAGACAGATGCTGACAACCAATGCTGGGGCTTTGCATGCCAGCCCTACATAGATAAAACATATGGAAAGAAAAGAAAACCCCTCTTCTACAACAGTTTTAAGCACTCTTCTCTGCAAGTCCCAGCAGAACCGATAAAGCAGCAAAGCACAGGGACACCCTGCACTGCAGAGCCAGCCGTGCAAAGGCAAATGCAGGCAAAGCAATACATCTCTGCACAGTCTTATGTGGAAGTTTTTCGTATTTCTGGTACCTAACAGCAAAGATGGTACAACACCCCATCTTTCATGATCACCTTCAGTTCTTGGGCATCTCGCAGCATGTAGGAGATATGTACTGAACCCCAAACGGCAGAGTCAGATCCTGCCTTGAGAAAGGCCCACTTGCAGGTCAAGGACCTTCTGATAAAAGAAGAGGCCCACAAGGACCTGGCTCCCACCACACCTCCCAAGAGCTGGTCTCCGTCCATCTACTTCCTGCCTCATGCCCCACGGCCTGCCCGCCTCGTCCGGCACTCAGAGACCTACTTTCCTCACCATCCCGTAAGAAATTAAGCTCACTCCTTGACCCGCTCCTCTCCCAGGCACCAGGCTCCCCATTTCCACAGAGGTTCCGGCCCCCATCCCGCAGGCTGGGGTCTCCCGCCATCCTCCGGGACCACCCACCACCCCAGCGGAGCCCAGGGCTGCAGGCCGCCGTTCCTCCCGGACCTCCAGGGACTCCACTACAGTCCGCCCTGGGCTCAGCCCCGGCCCAGTCTCTTTCCCCCCGCCACCGATCCGCACACCCACCGTCCAGCAGAGGCTCCTTACGCCGCGGCGAGGCGCGCAGCCGCGCAGACTACAACTCCCAGCAGCCCCCGCGCCACGCCCGGCGGCGCCAAACGCCCTGCAGCGCCCAGCATGCCGGGAAGGAGAAAAGGCGCGCGGGGCGCTCGGTACGCTGGGAAATGTAGTTTTCCCCTCACGACGCCATCTTAGGGGCGCTGAGAGCTGCGCGTGTTGCCGCCGGAGTCGGGGAATTGGAGGCTGCCTCCGCCACCCTCTTGCCGGGGCTCGGCTCAGACCCACATACGAGGTGCGGGGACCTTGTCTAGTGTTGCCCCTGGCAGCACCCAGTGCTGCACGGCAGGGGCAGGGCTCCCTTACTGGTTGCCTCTGGTGTGTGTGGCTTTTAAATGGATGACTATGAGCAGGGAATAAAAAGTGGAGGTAATGCATAAGAAAGGGTGAAAATACTGTTGTAAGCAGTGAGGTGGGAATCCGCCCCAGGGTGTTAAGAGCAGTGACTGACGGTGCAAATTTCTGTAATATTTGGAAAGTGGTGGAGGTGAGGAGGTGCCCTTGGCAACTGGAGGAGGGCAGAAGTCCCTACAAGAAGGGCCAAAAGAGAACCCAGAAAACTACAGGCCCATTAGTCTTACTCCAGTCCCTGGGAAAGTAATAGAGCAAGTCTTCCTAGAAACTATCAAAAATCAAATGAAGCAGGTGATTAGGAAAAGCCAGCATGTATTTACCAAAGGCAAATCATGCCAGGCTAACCTCGTCACCACCTACAACAAAATGACATTGTCTACATGGAGAGAGCAGTGAATGTTGCTTACTCGGACCTGGCAAAGCATTTGACCCTGTTTCCCACAGCCTCCAAACTGGCCAGATACAGACTGGAAGGGTGGTCTGTGAGACAGGTAGGAAATGGGCTTACAGGCCACATGCAGAAGGCAGTGATCAATGAGTCTTACGCAGGCTGGCAGCCTGTCACAAGTGAGGTCCCACAGGCATCGATACTGGGCCCCATGCTGTTCAACAAGTTGCACTGGAAGGGGTTTCATCCCGATACAAGAAAGACACTTTTTACACTGAAAACAATCAATCACTGGAACAACCTCCTTGGGGACATGGTGAGGTCCCCACCCCTGCAGGTTTTCAAGATGCAATTGGACAGGGTGCTAGATAATCTCATCTAGGCTCCCTTTCCCTCAAAAGATTGGACCAGTTGATATTTCGAGGTCCCTTTCAACCTAGACTGTTCTATGATTCTGTGAATACTTTCATAATAAGGTAATTACTCATATTTGCATCAAAGTTCTGAATAAAAAGGTCTCTCAGGGTTTAATTATACATGGGACTTGATTATACACATCAAGCCACGCTTCCTGGACAGTTGATGCCCATGTTCTTAACCAGAGTGATAACTGGGGTGAAAGCAGAGACCCTGGGGAGCACCATAACCCCCTTCCATCTCTGACTTTCACTACCCTGCCCAATGGCAGGTCTGAAGGCGACATCCCTGTCCTCAGATGCTGTTTTCTCTCACCTGACAGACCCTTTGGCTGGGGACTCCAAAGCCAGCTGGCTGTTTCACAGTTTATTCATTCTTCTCTCTGCTGGTTAATTAGAAAAGGTTATCCTTAAATTGCTTCCTGATTAAGCAGCAGTGACTGCCATTAGTCAGGAGCTCATCAGCCCGAGAAAAACAAGGCAGGCAGCAAGAACGAGGTGCGACTTGACACACAGCACAACCCTGGGAGTGCTGTTACTCACCTGGGAATCACACATGCACAGGCGTGAGCATACCATGTGCACACAAACATTCACAAACATGCCACTTTTAAAGAAAACCACAGGGCTGAGAAGAGGTCCAGGTCCAGGTCCATCTTCTCTGAAGAAAAATAGTAAAAGTCAAACCTTCTTCCAGATCCCTGTCCCCCTCACTGCAGAGAGGGTTTGCTAGGAAAGGATGCTCAGCCCTGGGGCCTCTGTTCAGATCCGTTGCCATCACCCTTTCTTCTCCTGCAAGCCAGCAGGCTTCAGCTGGCTACACAGCAGAGAGAGAAAAGAACGGATGAGAGATCTTTTTTTTTCTCCTTCTTGTCACACTTTTAACTGCCCAAAGCTAAACCAGATCCCAGTCTCACATATGGGAGAGAGAACATGCAGAGCATAACCCTGCAACTCTTTCCAGCCACCTTCTTCCCCACAGCAGCTATCCAGTTCCAGGTGTCTGGTGATGGCTCCTTCTGCTTTGAGGGATCTGGGGAAAAAAATCCCAAACCCAAAAAACTTGGCAAAAGCGGAGAAAAACCTTTATTGGGTACTGTCCCCAACTTGTGAAAATTATGAGAGCAGAGAGCATCATTTGAGGAGAGTTCTTGGGCTGCACGGTCAGGCAGACACACAGACAGACGTTGAAGCATTTGCTCCATATGGCACAACTTCAGCAAGGCACAAGGAACAGCCCAGCCATGCAGGGAACAGACCTACAAAATGAGAGGCCATTTGTGAGCAGTTTGCTGGTAGAACTCCAGGTGTCCCTTCAGTCAGAACATGCTTCCAGCAGTGGCTTGGACTCACCCTCCACTGGGTAAAGGAGCAGTATGGAAACCCTGGGAGGACTAGGAGGGTTAGCTCGCCCCAGCTCTGTGTGTTCGCCCACTTCTGAAGTGAGCTTACCCACTTCTGAAGAAACACTCTCATAGGTGAAAAAACATAAAGAAATGGGGTTCTCAGCAGGCATAAGGGGCCTGCTGTTCTTACCGGGATCTTTCCATCACTTGGATTGTGCTCTAAACATCCTCTCATGGGCTGGTCCAGACTGATGGCTCCCAAATGAGGATGGAACTGCCTGTGTTGTACATCTCCTATAAGTAGCAGCTAATATTTGAAATACAAGTGACCCAAGAACCCAGAGCTATCCTGGGATCTCATGGATTGTCCTCTGAGGGGTTTTGACCTGCTCTTAGGAGGTCCTACTGCTGTCATATTGAGTGTATTTACCTCATTCCACTGCCTTGCCAGCACACGTTGGTGGTTCTCCATGTGGACAGAGCTGTCTGCCTTCATCCTGGATGTGTGGTCAGTCTGCACTCTCTGCTGGGGCTGAATTGCACACAGAGCTGCTGTGTGTAGCAAGGCCATACAGTGGACAACTGGTAATCAGCCCAGGCTAATGGCCCTCAGATGCCTTAGCTTCTTGGAGGGTTTTGTTAGCCCACACTCAGCTCAGAGACACCATTACCAATGCCCAAATGTGCCAGTCTTTGACCAGATGTGGTCTGTAGTTGCACCTTTTAAAATAAATTAATCCCATGCTCATGAGCCTTATCAGTTTCTTCTCAGCTAAAACCAGTCAAGTTGCTTGACTGGGGACAATGCAGGTCAGCTCTTCAGAGAAGTTCTTGGGACAGGAGAGTCAAAGAAAGGCTCTCAGACTGGCAGAGCTTCTTCTGGTTGGAGAAACCCTTTCTTGTGAGCTGCTAGGTTCTGTCCTGGATACTTGTTCAAACACCTGTCCCCTGTAGGCTGCCAAATTGTGCTTCCTTTACTCTGGTTTAGGGTCCTCAGCGGTGTCTAAGCTTCCTAGCGGGGAACCAGAGCCCTGGGCTCAGGGGGCCAGGGCATGCTTGGGTTTGAGGGGATGCTGACCCTCCATCACTCCCCATACCAGTTCTCCCTGGATTTCTTTTCTTAGATGGCTGTTAATCCACTCAACTTTCCCTCTGCCATCAAGACATATCAAGGACCGTGGCTTGCTGTCCCATTTGACAGCCCAGCTACTACTGCAAGTTGACTCTGAATCAGGCCCTTTCTCTGAGCATATTTATAACACAAAAGACAAAGTTTAGAGTTTGCTGAATCCAGCTGCCCTTGAAACTCTGATGAAAGAGGACCTGCAGAGGCTTTTCTATTAGCTTTTCTAGCATGACAAGGTTGCTCCCCTCCTCTGCCAGTTCAGTGAAGACCACTTCTTTTTCCCTGCTCTGGCCACCCGGTGCAAGGAAAATTAGTCACCTTCCACTCTTTTGAAGCAGCTTCTTTTATCTACACAGCTTGTTCTTCCCTGGCATGCTGAAGCCTTCCTGCTCTTGTTTATAGTACAACCCCTCTGACAGATTGCAGGGTCTCTTTTTTGCCTTCTGTCCTTCTTGGCTGGATTCCTCTCCACAGCTCCAGTCCAGAGCAATGGTTTGCACAGCACATGGCCTCTGCTTCGCTGCCAGGCTGCTGCCATGCTCACAGGGCTGATGCAAAGCTGAGGCGACTCTTGATCTTTTATGAGATGCAGCCCAGGTGTAGGGGACAGTTCACTGGCACCCAGAACAAAGATTTAAAAGAGTGAAAAAACCCCACATCCTACATTGAGATGCAAACTGTTTCCAAAGCATTTAACACGAAGTGAGCTGTCATCCATCTGGGGTGAGGGCACTAGCAATGTGGACGCTCCAGTGTCTTATAATATGCTTAAGATCAGGCAGAGCACATCCTGCTGCTCCACACAACTGGGGTTTTTTGTCCAGATGCTGAACAGAACTTTATATTGGTGAATCACAGTTAAACTGGAAGAAGGGTGTGAAGGTAGAAGGAAAGGCTTGTGTGCACACACAGAGAATTTAACTGTATAAGCTTTATTTCCATACGAAACCAGGCTAAACACACCGAAGTTGCATTCTCAGTTATATTCTGGAGCTTATTAAATTACTGGCCTGGTTTTCAGGTTTTCAAGATCAGAATAAAACTAATCCTGTGGCCTTAGTGTTGATGTGAAGCCAAGTTTTGAGATCCTGTTTGTTAAAGCTAGCCACAGTTCTCTGCCCTTTCTCTTCCTGGTATACAAGAGACCCAGAGACACAGAGAAATCCTTTAAGCAGGAGCATCAGAGGTCACTGATGTTAAATAATTAACCACCAATATAAT